AGCAACAGCTGGAGGAGGAGGCCGCCAAGCCGCCTGAGCCGGAGCAGCCTGTGTCGCCACCACCCATCGAGTCCAAGCACCGCAGCCTGGTGCAGATCATCTACGACGAGAACCGGGTGAGCCCCTGTGACCCCCACCCGCCCTGGCCCCCGAGGGCCGCAGCTGCCACCTTGGGGTGGAGCCTGGGTACCCTGTTTTATGTGCAAAACCAAAATGGGCCCTGTGGGTGAGTGGGTGGGGGAAGGGAGGGGTGACTGCTGGACACAGGCTTGCTCAGTGCGTGCGCAGAGGGGCCTCAGCCCTGACCTGTGGGGCACACCAGGTCCTGGGAGACCACCAGGAACAGCTGGTCAGCCAGGGGTGCCTCTCAGGTAGAAGCCGAAGACACTGTTAACGACATCCGTCCTGCCAGATGTGCCTTTCTGTAGCCGTCCTCCAAGGACAGGGGGCCCATGTTTCTGTCTCCTGTACAGGGAAACTTTGAGACTGGGTCCCCAGGTGGTGACGCTACCTGCCCAAAATCATAGAGGGGCTGGCGTCTGGGCCCCCGGGGCTGGTTCTCCAGCACCAGCCTCAGCAGACACTGAACGGCCCCGAGATGTATGGAGGTGGTTTAGTGTTGGAGGGTCTCAACCTGCCCCCAGTGCCTGCTGGGCTGGTGAGCTTCTGTCTGGCCTCAGTGAGCCGGGTTCCCTGATGCCCAGGCTGCTTCTCCAGGTGTGCTTGGCATCCGTGGGTATCAGGTCACCTCCCTTTTTCATGAATGAGGTGACCAAATGAAGGATGACGGGTAGGGGACCTTCTCTCCTTGGTCCCCCTCCTGTCTGGGGAGCCGCCCCCCTCCGGCCATTTCAGTGTCAGAGTCAAATTGAGAAGTGCTTCCATGCCCCTGGGCCTGGGTGGCTGCTGTGGGTGGAACCCCAGACAGGGAGCAGCCACATCAGCCCTTCAGGCTACTCCTCCGCCTCTGGAAGCAGCAGTAGATGCAGGAGGAGCCTGAGCAGCCGGGTCTTGGGCGCTGTGATCACCCTTGCAGGGAGGGTCAGCTAGGCTCCCTCGTGCTGGTCCCACCACAAGGAGCAGAGGGAACTGTGTCTCAGATGAGGAGTGATGGGCCTGCCAAGATGCTAAGTGTAGAAGACTCAGGGACTGGGCATCCTCAGTCAGCCCCCAGCCCTCGCACTTGGTAAACGTAGCAGAGGCTCTGGCTAGCTCAGCGGTTCTCAACTTGGGGGTGGAACGACCCTTTCACAGGGGTTGCCCGATTCAAAACCGTAGCAAATGACAGTGATGAAGTAGCAACGGAAGTAATGTTACGGTTGGGGGGTCACCCCACATGAGGGACTGTATGAAAGGGTGGTGGCATGAGGAAGGCTGAGAACCGCTGCTCTGGAAGAACTGTGGTTCATCATAGCACTGCACCGCAGCCAGAAAGTCCTGGATCCCTGACTGGGAACATGTGGCCGGCGGTGGGCCGGGCCAGGTGTGTGTTGAGCCATGCACGAGAGCAGTGAGTGCTCCTTAGCTGCCACGGTCACCGTGTTGCTCTCCACTGGCCACCTCTCCGTTATGCCCGGGTCCTTGCCGTCCTCAGCAGATCCGTGTGAAGCAGGGCGTGCTATTTGCTCGGGTTCACTTGCCAAGACCCTGCCCGAGAGGCCTAGCAGGTGAGCCTGAAGACTGCTGGGTCCTAGAGTCCAGGGGAGCTTGCTCCTGCGGCCTTTTGAAGATGGTGCAGGGCCGGCCTCCAGGGAGGCTGCCTTCTGTCGGCTGCTCATTGCTCCTTGATCCTAGAGTGCAGATCAGGCCCGGCTCTGTCCACAGAGGCAGTGGAGCTATGTTCAGGGTGCTGTGCGGGAGGTTGGGCCCCCAACCCCGCCTGCCTCTGGCCAGGTGGAGTCAAAAGCATGGGTCTCCTGTGCCTTTGTGGGAAGCTGGTCTATTCTCCCTCCCAACCCAGCAATGGGACCTTGTTTTCTGGGCTCCATCTGAGTAGTCATGTGAGGGCCCCTCCCTCCACGAGGGTCTCCCAGGGCAGTACTCACTGGCTGCAGATCTGCCTCCACGGCCCCCACGGAGTAGTCTTCCGGCCAGGACTGCCAGCTGCTTCTGAGGCTACTGTGTACCCTAGGCCCTGCTGAGCTGGAGCTGTGAGTTGATGGAGCTTTGTGACGGAATGAAACCACCCAACAGAACAGGCCGCCACAGGAATCTGGTGGCTCTGGGATAAGTGGTGGTCTGCTCACTTCCAGGCTGGTGGTTCAAACCCAGCAGCCGCACCTTGGGAGAAAGACGAGGCTGTCTGCTCCTGTGACCTAAGGAACCGTTTTCCTCTGGTGGACTGGAAGACCGTGGGTTTGGTGGGCAGTGGGAAGTTGGTGCGGGCCTGCGTCAGGTATGGGTGGATTCAGGTGCTAGAGCGAGGCTGCCCAGAAGCTCTGCCTCCCTCTGTGTCTCTGCCTCCCTCTGCATCCTTGGTGCCAGAGCCTGGCCCAGTCCTGGAAAGTTGGCTCCTACAGCACCTGGCTGACCTCCAGCCCGCTGGACTCCCCGGGCAAAGAGGAAACCCTTCTTTCCCGGTGTCCTGCCAACTGCCCCAGAGTGGGCCCGCACCAGCCAGCTGGCACCACGCACATGCTCCTGTCTGAGCCAGGCCCACAGCCAGGGGGTTAGCTGCTTGGTGAAGGCCCCGCCTGCCCCCTGCCCTCCGTTTACTTGGGCTGGTGCTCTGAGAGGAGGCTGCCTGTGGGCAGGGCAGTCAGTGCGCCCATGTGGAGCCCTGCCTCTGGCCCAGACAGAACATGTACACATGGTCATTACTGAGTGACAGCTCACTGCAGGAAGGGGAGGGGAAGCCCCTGGTATTGGGGGCGTGGGAACCAGCCCTCTGCCAGGGCTGAGCCTTCGAGGTGGGATGGTGGCCCTCAGCTGTGCTGCCTTGGACAGGAGCACCCCACCCCCACCCCGGGCATCTGGGCAGGGGGAGCGGGGCCGGGACCGGAGATGAGATTCCTTGTCGTGTCCTCTGATGGGTGGAGCACCAGGGCTGGGCTATAGCCCCAAGGTCACCCCCTCTGTGGAAACAAACCCCTGTTGGGGTCCAGCAGCCCCTCCCCTGTGCCTGTGGGCAGACCCCGAGGACGCAGGGCTGGGTGACAGAGGGGCAGGCCTCTCAGGGGTCTTGGCACAGAGGCCAGGAGAAGGGGGTTCAGCAGGTGTGGGGGTCTCAGGTAGAGCAGATACACAGGGCAGGTACCCAGCTGGGACTGCGGGGAAGGTGGGAGACATGGCCAGAGTCAGCAGAAGCCTGCCTGCCGGTGAAGGGATCAGGAGAGCAGTCATGTGTGCCCCCCCTTACACACACACACACACCCACACACACACACACACACACCCCACACACACACCCCTACTCTGCTCTCGGGTGAGTCACATAGCCAGCCAGCTATTCGCTGCAGACATGGAGCCCCGCACTGCCCCCTGCTCAGCATACCTGTCAGGGCCTGGTGTCCACAGAGCAACATCTCTGCTCCTGGTCCCAGGGATTTGGGTGGGGGTGTGTGTGTGCTGTTGCTGCTGGGAGCCATGTCCACACAGGCTCCTGTGCCTGCCTCCCTGCTGGGCCAGTGAACGGGCGAGGAGCTGGCCCTCAGAGGCGGGCTGCTCCCTGCAATCCCTAGGCAGCTGGTGTGGGTGCTCCCCCCTCTGCAAAGATGGACCGGGACAGGGCCTTAGAGGTGGGTGCAGCTTAGGGGCTTCCCTGATGGGAGGGGCTCAGGGGAAGCTTGTCTTTTCCATTTGCTGGTGGTGGGTGCTAGTCCCCCTCCCCGCCACTTGAGGTGCATCAGGGTCCCCTATGTCCGCCTGGCCTCTGGTGACGGCCCCTTTACGTGGGGTCCTTGTGAGACCAGGTATGTGGAGCTTGCAGGGGTTTACATGGCCAGGTCGGCTCTGCCCGGATAGCCACGTCCTTAGCGGTGGCCAGTGATGGCCCTAGCCCTTTGCTTGGCCTGCTTCACGGGTTCTCGGCTGACACGTCTCTGAGCAGACGTGATTGTGTGGTGGCAGTACCTGCCCTCTTCCTGCACCTTGCTGAACCGAGGGGACATCCAGGAGAAGGTCCACCTTGTCTTTCTCCCCCTTAGAGGACAGGCCTCCTCCCCCCACCGCCCCTCCGTGCCTCATTTCTTTGCACAATGGGGTTACGGTGCTAACGCGGTGTTTCTGCAAAGCCGGGCTGTGTGCCCACCCCTGGCACACTGTTCCTCAGTCCCGCTCTTGGCTGCCAGTCCAGATGTTCACTCGGCCATCGGACGGGGGGTGGGGGGCTGGACCCAGGTTCTAGGGAGAGCTCACCTGGGTGCTGGCCTGAGCCCATCTATGAGTACCTGACCCTGCTGTCCTGGGGGCAGGATGAGACCGGTGGGTCCCTGTGTTCTATTTGACTTGCATGGTCCAGCCTCCACCACCTACAGAAAGAAATGTCTTCCCACGTCACCTGTGACACGTGTGTGCCCAGCTGTCCCTCCTCCCACCCTCCTCGCCCGGCCCTTAGACACACAGCTTGTGTCCACTCAGCCTCTGGTGCCCAGCCCAGCCTTACAGAGCCCCTACTGAGACCCTTCACGGCTCCTCTGTTCACCCTCCCCAGCCCCCCACGACCTCTGGGGGTCCCTGGCTGCGGCCTGTGTGCCACACAATGCTCCCTTCATGGCGGAGCTGGGTTGGCGGCTGGCCGAGCCTCCTGCCATGTGGCCAGCTCCCCTAACATCTCCTGTTGTGTAGGAGGTGGGAGCCGGAGGCTGGCGCAGCCCACGAGCCAGGGAAGGCGTCTCCCAGTGGCTCCCTTGTCCCTCTGCCCTTCCTCGCTGGCTGCACCCCTGCAGCCACCCAGCTGGGCATCGCAGCCTGGGGTGGCCTGGTGGGGACCCATCCAGACCTTCTGCTCCCCAAGGGTGGATGTGAGTGGCCCCCTTGCTGACTTGCCCTGTATTGTGTTCTGTTTCCGGTCTTCGACTGCAGAAGAAGGCAGAAGCCGCCCATCGGATCCTGGAGGGCCTGGGGCCCCAGGTGGAGCTGGTGAGCTGGGGTGCAGGCTGGGAAGCTCGGGTGGGGGTAGTTCTGTGGAGGTGGGTGTGGCAGGGAAGGGGGAAGTTGCCCCCTGACTAGAGCAGACTCGAGCAGCTGTCTGCAGAGGCAGGAAATGCACTGTCCGATAGGGGGGGGGACGACGACTGCCCAGCCCGGCGGCTGCAAGAAGCCCCAGACACCCGCTCAGCAGGGGGGCGCAGT